AATATTATAAAAAATAAAAAAAATTAATAACTACGTAAAAATGTATCCAAATATTTTAATAATATGAAAAAAAATGAGAAACATTATTAGTCTTAATATATAAAATAAATTTCTCTAGTTTGAAATTATTAAATAGTAAATATATTAACAAAACAAGTATCGAGTGAGTTAATAATATGAAAGCATCTGAAAAATAATATTTCTTGATCAATAATAAAATTTGTTTTTGAATTTTCTAAATATTAAATGTATTAATATTAATACTTAGTTTATATATACATAGCTTGTATATATACTTTTAATATTAAATATATTAATATTATAGCTGAGTTGATAATAGATTGAATCTACTTTTAAAATATTCATTAATAGATTGAATCTACTAATTATGAAAATATTTTTTAAATTGTCCACATTGTTTAGAAAACGAAAATATTTAAAAAAAAATAATCAATTCAAACATGATCATCTTTCTAAAATATTTAAAGAATAAGAAAATAAACTTCACATGCTTAATATTATAAAATAAATAAGTCATTTATAATATGAAATTATCAAATTATATAAAATTTGTGAATTTGCCAATATTGTTTATATGTACGAAATATCAAATTACATTAAATTTGTTATATATAATTCAAATAAAATATAAAACAATGGGTCTAATTTGTGAAGTTGTAAAATATGTGGGTAGTATTGAAAAGTTGTAAAAGTTGATATAAAAGAGAATATTCTTTTGGGTTTGAGAATGATTTTTTCGGTTGGAGATGAATTACTGCAAAAGGTGACAGTTACTGCAAAATGAGTTTGAAAATGAGTTTTTCGATTGAAGATGGCCTTAGTCGCTAGTCTTTTGTTAGCACTTTTCTCACAAATGCCAATATTTTCGTTAAAAATATTATTCTTTAAAAAATAATATAAATAGATGATAATATTTACTAATATAAATATACCATTCTATTAACGTTCGTTATTTACGTTTGTGACAGATAAACTTACATAACTATTAAGACGTCTTACACAGGAATTTGTATCATTTAATAAGGAATTCTTCTTCTCTAGAGAGTGTGAGATTTTTATAAATACCTACACTTTGCTTACTATAAGTAGATTTGTTAAGTGAAATAAGAAATGAGGCATTATTTATTATCCTTAATATTATCTATATAATTATATACTAACCACCAATCATTAAATATTAACAATCAATTATTTTTACACATCATATCAACTTTAATTAACTATTCATCCACTCACATAATTTTACCTAACCATCAATTTATATCATCTCTCCTACTTTTACATCAAACTAATTTCAATTATTTTATTTTAAATATTATTTTAATATAAACTCAAAATACCACTAGCAACTTACTAGACTATTTTTTTTAAAAAAATAAAAAAACTCATTTTCAGTTAATTCACTCAAATTATTCATTTAACAAACACATTCTAAAACACTAGAGCTCGTTTACGACTTAAACTAAGAGAAGTGTATTCAATTAGGATTTCATGTGTATTCAATCACTAAGGGAAGTGTATTCAATTAGGATTTCATGTGTATTCAATCATGTTCCGTAATTCCAACTATCATGTCAAAAATTAACATTTTTATTATCTTTAGATAAAATTACCATTAGACATTTTATTTTTCTTGCATCAACACAAATTTCAAAAATTTCCATTAAAAAAAAAAAAATCATCACTATTTCCAACCTAACCAAAAAAAAAGCGAGAAGAAATAATAATAATAAATTAATAATCCCTCTCTCACATGTATCTCTGGTTTCACTTCGTGAACCCCAGACCAAATTTCTATCTCAGTATTGGCAATCAATTTTGAAAGTCAAACGCATCACTCAAAAATTCCAGTCCAGTCTGACTTCCCCGGGCCCCACGGAATGCTGACGTGGCTTCCTGAATGACACGACGTGGCTGCCGGCCATGAACGCCGTCACGCGCTCCGAAATCCTAACGTCCTCCATCCTCATCTCACTCAGCCTACGCGCGTACTCCGGTGCGTGCACCACGTCCCACACCACGGCTACCCCGCCGGGCCTCAGCACCCGCACCACCTCGCCCAGCACCCTGGCCCGCTCGGCGGCCGCTGCCGCCGAGCCTGGCCCGAATTCCCGCCCGACCGTGTGGAGGAACGTGGCGGAGACCACCACGTCAAAGTAGCCGTCACTAAAGGGCAGCGTCCTCGGGTCACCGGGCCTGCTTGCAAAGATATATGTAATCACAATTTGATTAATTGTTTTACTTGAAATTAAAAAAAAAAAATTACTGCCAGATTGAATAAGAAATTATAATTGATTACCTCAGAGTAATTACTAGATCAAAAATTGGAAATCTTAGGAATATTACAATATAATTCATTTTGAAAGTATGTATATTTTTTTAAAAAGTAGGATGAATTTAACTATTAATCATGTCTAAGTGTAGGCTTATTATTGTTTATTTATGAAGTTGTTAAATGAAACGAGCCGTTCGACGGTTTACGACGCTGAGTTCGATCTCTTTTAAAACTCGCTAGTAATGCTCAGAAAGAAAAAAAAAATATATATATATATATACATAATTGTTTTAAAGCTCGAGCTCGATTCGTTAAGGCGTTAAGGCTCGAGCAATTTCAATGAATTTAGAGAGGATGGTTGAGGGCTGAAATGAACATATAAGTGCTAGAGTGTTATAGACCTTCTACTCCACTAGTTAATATTTTTTTTTTTGGTACAGGGACCTTCCGGTTTCCGGATACACAGGGGAACCGATTAATCCGGAATCGAGCCGGGTAGGACCACAACGGCGGCAAAGCTCTCCGCCTCTCCCTCAAGAGTTTCAACACTGCTGCATTCCCAAGGCTCGAACACGAGTTAAGCTGGAAGAGACCCAAACCATCTCATCCATGCGCTCTTGGATAGTTAATATTGATAAATGGTATTTATCTTAACTCAGAAAAAGGCTAAGGCTCAATATCAAATATCCATAGTTTGGCTCATTTACACTTTTAAGTAGTATTATATGTAAAAAATGTAATCATATTAATATAATCAAATCAAATACCGAGTAGCTAATGTCATATATATAATTTCTTAATTTAGATATGAAAA